GATAACCATCAAGACGCCTGCCATTTGTTATAAATAAATATCAAAGGTTGAACTCAGACTTACTAATATAATTTCAGTACATGCATGATATGAATAGCGTCTTAATAATAATAGTCAAATTTTAGAGTATTTAAGTCTTCCCCAATAATTAACAACAAATATGAATAAACTTACCACATCTACCGTCTTCCTCGCCAGCGATAGGAAGATTGTGAGAGTAGACAAGCCATTCGTAGAATCGTCGTTGAAATTTCGGTAATTTTCTCCATGACTTGCTTTCCAAAGGAGAAATAGTACTCTTCGACATCCCCTTTGGTTCGGGTTCTAAATTAGTAAGCAAGAGGATACTCTCTTTCCGGGGTTTTGACGGTTTGTTATTACTATGATTGAGACTGCAAGCCAAAGAGAGACTGGAACGCCGAACAACTGAGGCCATGCTGATCTCCGACTAGTTCACACTCGTCTTTGATCTCAATTGCATTTATTCTCTTTCTCTTCTTTCTATGAGCGCAAATGTGCACAAAATTCCCGGAAAGTAGGCGCATAATTTGGCAATTTGTCAAGGTCATTTGACTGCGTTTGCACGCAACTAAACGGCCAGTGGTGCGGATTGGTTAGCGCACAGGCGTCTTACGGTGAGTGCAGTTAAGCACGTTCACAGGTCGATAAACAAACAATAACATGGCAATCCATCAGAGAACAATATGTCAATTAAACTTAACTGAATAATTCGTCCTTGTGAAAGATTAAAAAGGGCGAGTGCTTATGATAAACAAAACTTTCAAATATTTCACTTTCGTGATATTAAGCCTAAAATGGGCGAAATGTCATTATTAGAGGATTCTTTTGCAATTATTTAAGCATAGCAATTTTACAATGACCCACACCTTTGTTGAATCAATATCTCACTAGCAAGATTGATGCTTTAGAGTGTGAGGTGACCATTTTATTTCACCTTTTCCCACATATAGGGGTCTTTCAATAGATTAAAATTCTATTAATAAACTGGGAATAAATTTCACTTATTATTCGGCAAATATGTACTGGCCTTCTAATTTTTAACCTGAAATTCGTGTCCAAAGTCGGTCCACCATCAATGTAACAATTTGAGCGAGTTATATCGGCCTTTAAGTGGGTCTATCGTTTCTCCTTGACAAAAATTTATGCACAACGATAGATTCGTTCATATATATATATATATATATATATATTCAAGGGGGTGTAAGATAGACTAACCTTCACGTGGTGCGCACTGGGCAACGTATACGGCAAAAAAGTCAATAAACTGAAAGTTGACTACTCACTCCAAAGTACTATGACCCAACTGAATCTCATATTCCACCACTTTCACAGTACTCACCTTACCTTACCCTATTCTCTACCTTTGCTTCAGCCAGTCTCTTTGGCATCAGTGAATTACTCTACTGTTCTCCCCTCCCCCCTCGACATTTTTTCACTTTGATGTTACTCCCCTCTGAGAAGCCCGAAGTCAATTAAAGGGCTAATGATAACTATCAAAACAACCGTCATTTGAAATACATAAATAAATATCTATTCAAGGTAATCTTGATATTCATCACTTACCCAAGCAACACATGAATGACAATATCGTCAAAGGGACTTTTCATGAGGGTAAAACAACTCG